GTTTATTGGTTATATTTAAGTTTTTGAGTTTTGGTATCTTTTTCTAATACTATATGCAATAACTATATTTGGTGGATGGAAATATTTTATGATGTACATGTTAGTCTCACAGGTTTTATTTTACCTTGACCTCATTTTCACAGTTCATTGCTCAGTGTTACGTTTTTCTGTAATGGTCTGTTTTTCTCAAACTTTAAGGAATACGTCATCTATATTTGTTGTATTGAAGGATTGTAAGCTATACATGTCTGACTGGAATGGTTCCTCTTTAAACTATAAGCATTAGGTCAACTATAACTAGTGTATTGAATGATTGTAAGGTGAACATGTATTTCTCGTTTGCTTTATATGACCTTGACTTCATTTTTTTGGATCATGTTAAGTTTATGTGATAGTTTTAGTAAAGCTTAATATCTAGGACTATCAACATTATGCCAATGGTTAGTAAATAAGGCGAGACATTTCAACGTGTGCACTCTTGTTCTATCCATTGCATTTTTATATCATTTTCTGTTTACTCTTTAAAGCGTCATCTATCAATTAACTTATCTTGGAAACTAATTAAATGTTTATTCAATTCAATGATGTCACTAGTATTTCTAATATGACGTATAGATTCACACACTGTAATACTCTTAAACTTATGTGTGTTTTGAATGTGCACTTAGTCTAGTGATTTGTAAATATTGGTACATTTCTGTTTTTTTTTAATATGTGACTTAACAGAAAGAATTTCAATATTATGGAATCGTTAACCTTTGTACAATTCGGTAGATCATACTAGATGTCGACACCTCATATTTAAACTTAAATTGAGGTTCAATTTCGTTCGCTATGTCCAAGAAATCTTCAACTTGCTTTGATTTGCTTGTGAAGAACATAAACACGGGTGTCATTCGGTTTATTGAGAAAAAAGATAGTGAAAGAATACCTAACAGAGGTCAAGTATTACGATTGGATCGTGAAAGCTCTGGTATAGGATCGAGAATTTAATCTTATCGAGAAGACATATGCAAGGTCAATTACTAATCTATTATAAGGAATTATACGGACAAATTTACAAAAAAATAAAAATGTCTGTCAAAATGGTTAAACATAACGATCAGTATCTGAGCAAAATCAAGGTTTAAAAGTAAACAGTTCTTACAAAACTACAAAAGACAGATTGCTCCTCGACATTTCAATGACATTGAATACGTAAACAAGCAAGATTTTTTTCATAACTCGAATGACTAAACAACTTTTCTTTGAAAAATGTAATTCCATTTTAATGATTCAAATATATCGTGTACCACTTTTTGAAGATAATGAAAAGGATCGTGAAATATCTGATGCTAAGAAAACATTCAACTCATTATTTAATCATATGGTAATTTATATTTTTAACTTAAAATCTGAAATATTTGTAAATGTAAGCAAAGGCTGCGCGCAAACGTAACCAAATTTAATCCCCAAATGCGCGTAAATCTAATCCCCCCCAGAAATGTATACTATATTCTTTATAATATGACTGGTTTACCCGAATATTTTTTTCTGAATTTCTCGTTTGTTCGGATGAACTTTCAAAGAATATGTGAACATCTTTCCATGACTTTGATAAATTTTCAAAAGATTACAGGTATACTATTACCATGATTACATGCATCGTGCGTCTGTCTGGTCACGCATTGTCTTTCACGATCGAGATAATGAGTTGCCCGATCTTTCACGATCAATTTTAATGAAAAATCAACAAAATTCAGTGTCTTTCAAAAACAAAATGAACGGTTTCAAAGGAAAAAAACTTGTGTTTTACTGTATTATCTGTTACACCAAAGATTCAGTTTCAAATGCATCATTATATATTGGAATGTAGTCATGTAGGTACAAAACGTGCTCTTTTTTTTAATGAATTCCATAGACTCGTGTTGCGCCTTTTGGTTTTTCTTATAAAGTACTTAGTATTTTATTCATCTTATTGCACAGTATTATTGAGAAAGTTGAAGAAATTTGAAAGACATTATTTTTTTTCTCGGAACAATCCGCGTTTTGAAAATACAACAGATTTTTCACAGATTTTGAAGTAGAATTTCAATTAATTACATTCACGATCCGATACCAGATCTTCAACGATCCGATCGCAATGCTTGACCACCGTTAGGTATTCTTTCACGACCATTTCTCTCGATAAACCGATTGACAGCCGTGATAAAACCGTCATCTCTATATTGACAGTGTAATTTGATGGTTTCTCTTCATTGGAACTTATCTAAGATTTGTATAGGACAGACAGATGCAGATCTGTGTATGTTGGTGAAAATGTAACACACATGGGCACTACTATAATTTGTTTGTTTAACTGTCCATTAATCTCAAATTCGTTGTTTCTAAGAATTAATTTGACAAATGCAGATTACTCTTTTTTGTTGAGAATCTTTAAATTATATTCTTGTGTGTCAATTAATTCTAATGCTAGGTAATAGTTTCTTCTAAATTATCAATGATCATATTTGTGTACATTGACGTAAGATCATAGGAAATAGGAATACCTAAACAGAATTGTTACATCCTGCATCCGCAACTCGTCCTAAACCAATGAATGAATTTCAATCAAACTTTCACGTATATTTCATGACGTAATGCCATTGTGTCCCTTTTTTACACAAATCTTTTTATTTGTTTTCCTACCACACCATGGACTGTGCCATTCTATTATTTGGGGGTACACATTATGTATCTTCAATTCTTCCTTAACCGCTTCCTACAATTACATTCTCACAATGCTATTGTGCACCTCCTACTTACATCCTGCCTCTTAAAAACAAACAGATCAAAATTGTTTTCTTATCTTGAGTATAAACTGAATTTTTTTTTTTTGTGTATTATATTATTCAGTGAAATATCCATTTGTAACAGTTGTCAATATGTTGTTCATACTGTACGAACGAACTCCATTTTGGATGAATATTGTGTAAGGGCCAATAATTTCATACCTTTCCATTGTGATGAACATTATCATCTTTGTGGCTTTATTTCATAAAAAGATAAGGTCACCTACAACAGTAGTGATGCAAGTATTGGCGCTGGCTGACGGACTCACTGCGGTTTGTACCTATGGGTTTGAACCTTTTTTAAATATGCATTATGAAGTGATGGCAAATGATACATACGATAAAAATACAAAGGATACGGATAAAAGTACACTTGATACTAACAAAAATTTAGAAAAACCTTTATCTTGAAAAACTCCTTTTTTGATACACGAAATAAAAAATACTGAAAACTACACTAAGCTATTCATTGTTTTAGGAAACTTGCAGCGCACCCTATATCGCTTAAAACATATTGATATATCGTTGAAACTAACTTCTGAAAACGATTGAAGAAAAAGTTTTCTTTTCAGTTTTTAGTTTTCTATATGTATTAATTGGAAGTCAGAAAATATATCTTGAGATAGTTAACCATGGCAGTACATGTATGGACCGAAAATGTTTAAAGAATAAAACTTTGAGGTCATTCATTTGTATATTTGATCACGAAGGTCTAGGAATACTATACTTGGTGTTTGATTTATTTTATCTTGCCCGAATTTGACAATGCTTAATACACATTTTGTTTTTTCAAACTTATTCATGCTAAAACCAAAATCATTGTATTTGTACAAAAATAAACGCCTTCGATCATTCAATACCTAATTAAATAGTTAAGACGTTAGAATATCTATGATTTCCAATTTCAGTTGTCAATGAATCCCTTTTTATACAATTTTTATCTTTAATTAAGTTCATACTATCGAATTCGGCTGTGAAGTTATGAAAACTGGAAAATTTATCACAATGAACATTGAAACTGCCGTTTTAGCAATGATCCTAAATCAGTGACAAGGATTACACCTAGTGTAGCTAAAGATAATATTACGCGCGCGCACGCACGCACGCACATGGTGATAAAGTGATAAAATGACATGCGCATTGCAATGGCGGGATAAAATAGTCCTTGCACTATTCGTCCGGCTAGCCAGACAAAAAGGCACTCCGTAAAGAAAAAGGCTTAAAAATTAAAGAATATGGAATTGGAGGACCCCATTTCAGACTCTCATAAATAGCCATTAGAATAAAGTTTTGTTTAACAATTTGAAAGTTGACTTATGTAACGAGCGAGATTTATATAATTTCAAAGTACAGTAACACAATGCAATTGAGAGGAAAACCATTCAAGCCTTTTTGACGACTAGATCTTCTGAACAGATTCATTTCATCATTAGAAAAAAAATACGCTATTGCTTTCTTTGACAACCGGAGGATTTAAGTCGTGTAAATCACCAATGACCTTAGGCGACATTGGCCAATTGTACAATTGTACAGATTGACTGTTGTTTGCCTAATGACTAGTGACCTCAAGGTCAGAAGCGCTAGGACGAAGGAGCCTAATAATAACACGCTAAATAATGATTACTGTATCACTAGCCTGTCAACACTGAAGTTGTAAGTTCGAATCCCGCGCGTGGCAGGTTCGCTCGTCTCCAATCTTTACTGAATAGGATTGTCAGTTTTCCTACCGAAAGTTGGTGGTTCTCTCCGGCTTCCTCGGCAAATAGGAACTGACCGCCACAAAATAGCACTATACTTTAAGCAAGCATAAATCCACACAGTTTTGAAAAACAAAACAAAATGGCCCTGTAACCAACAAAGTTTAACTTGGTTTGTTTTATACTCTTTTTTGACTGATTATCCAGTTTCATTATTTTCTGGTTTTGATGTGTATGTCATGATTTTTTGATTTTTTTTAGGGTTGATTTTGTTTTGTATCTTGTTTGTTTTGGGTTTTATTTTTTTTTAGTTTTCATTGTTTTGGGGGACGGATGGTATTGAGTATAAATACTTAAGAATATTTACACAATTTTTTTTAAACAAGACAAAAAAGAAAAAAGGGAGGGGTTCCAATCCTCAAGCGCCTGCACTACAGGGGATGTAACAATAAACTAAGTTTGTTAAAATCTTAGTATTGTATTTCTTGACTGATATGAGTATTTGAAATATTTTATTTTCAGATACACACTTGTCATGATGATAGTAATGAAAGGATATATGATGGTACAGTAAAAACAATATGCTCTTGAGTCCTGATTGAGGACGTGCCTAAGCCTAGTCTTCTTCGTCACCTGACATATCTAAGGCGGCCTTTATTCCTTTCGTTAGCAACGTGTACCGTCTTTTCTCTAATGCGGTCAACTTTGGTGCAGGACTGTTAAAATTATAAACAGGAATTTTTAAATTACTAATACGGTTAAAAAACGAACTTATACGATCGTTCAGTGGTGGTTTTCGTCTCCCTGTTTTACTTAGCATCAAGGATTTCATCTGGTCAGTGTAAGGATCGAGAGGATACGAATTATTAAATGGCGGGAAAACGTCCCCGCAATCTGGAGTAGTGTCTTCTGAAATGTCTTGTAATTGTTCAGCGGGAGTAACAGACTTCCTTGTTGCTTTAAAACGCTTCTTAAGGAAATTTGAAAATGACAGTCTTCTCTGTTCAAGAGGATTGTCCTTCAATTTTATTTGCTGCAATCTTTCCTGCATTTTATTTGATTGGTCTTCACTGTTTTCTTGAACCCATGCCACAAATGACGACCTGCGTCTTGTTGACAGATCTTTCGTTTTTACCTCAAGAGTTGGCTCCTCGCTTTCGTCCTGAGAGGAATCGCTACTTAAATCCGCAGCATTTCCGGATGCTATCTGAAAATAAACTGACTCCCGCCTGTCCAGTGATGGGAGTGTAGTGCATGTACTAGTTTGTGAACTGTAGTTGGGAATACTAAATGTTTTCTGACGTTCTAGTCGGTTTGGCGTTTTGTCACGAGGCGTTTCTGGTTTTTCGTAGGAATTATCGTCAATTTCTTCAGCCAATGGTGTAGTTTGTGATTTCTCTGGAGGTTTCGGACTTATTCGCCGTCGATGTCGACGTTTCCGACGTGGTTGACCGGGACTAATCGAATTACTTTTTAAAATATTGTCCAATTTTAGTTCATCTTTTATGTCGGCTTTTCCCAAGTACCTGCAAAATAGCAATATATTATTTGTAATTATAAATCGTATAAAAGTCTTGCGTTACTAGAAATAATTGACGACTTCTTGTTAGTTAATAACTAGCTAGAAGTCCCTTCAATAGGAATATAAACTGGGTAATCAAAAAGGAAACAAATTTAGAACATACCAAATAATTAACAAAAACAACTGTAGATCACTGTACAACATACAGCAATGGACAAAACCCCCTGCCGTATTGTAAGCTACCATAGTAGTCTCCGGTATGGATAGAATCTGAAACAATTCAAACCAGATAGCCATCGGCTTGCTTTATTTAAGAACTGAATGCTTCTTTTGGTAATTTTAATAAGGTGTAAAAGCGAAGTATATTTTGTATGAAGCGAGGAAGTTTCATTCTAAAAATGTGCGCACGGTCAACGCTTAAAGCCTTTAACAACCCTATACGATTACTAAAAGAAACATTCAATACTTATAATTACATTTATTTGCTAAGATCAAGAAAACACGATTTATATCAAGTTTTTCTTTTAATTACCTTTGCACTTTATTGTGTAATCTCGTGTTATCATGAATGTACATTTCATTTTATAAAGGTTAATTTCAGAATGACGCGAGATTGCTGTTAGCCAATCCAAATAACGTATTATAATGAAACATACATGTAATGTAATTATAGAAAAATAATAAATGAAAAACATCCAGACTTCGAGCTTTTTTAGTTTTTAATTAACAGAGTCTAAGTATTATATACTAGCTAAAAGATTTTTTAACAATTTTATATTTATCCATAAAACCAAAATTTTGTTTAGCACTATACGCATTGCTCTTGAAATCAATTTAAAAACAACATTTATTTTACAATCCACCATTTTCTACATAAGGAAATGCCTGTACCAAGTCAGGAATATGACCGTTGTTTTCCGTTCATTTGATGTGTTTGAGCTTTTGATTTTGCAGTTTGATAAGGGACCACTGGTGTTAAACTGATAATCGTAACTGGAATAACGACGATCCCAATATGGCGACGGCAGAAATAGGTAAAATCTTTTCAGCCACTTTTCTCAAATGTAGCTTGTTGTTGTCAAGAATCACTCAGCTGTAAGGTTTCTTTATACCATTACCGTCATATCTGAATCGTAACGGTGCACTATAATTGTCTAAGCGATTAGAAAATTGCCGCCGAAAAATTCGGGATGATAATCGTAACTCGATGGCATTTTTCTTGTTTGATAATCGTAATTTCATTATCGGATAATAGTAACTGAAAAATAATAAATGTGTCTTAAACCCGCTGCAATTGTTTGCACCTGTCCTAAGCCAGGAATCTGATGTTCAGTAGTTGTCATTTGTTGATGTGGTTCATAAGTGTACCACTTACACTAGTAATTTTTGGCACCCTTTATAGCTGGCTGTTCGGTGTTATCCAAGGCTCCGTGTTGAAGACCGTACTTTGATCTATAATTATTTACTTTTATAAATTGTGACTTGGATGGAGAGTTGTCTCATTTGCACTCATACCACATCTTCTTATATCTACTTCCAGCTTTTTAATGGTATTTTGTTGTGTAAAAACGGCAATGTCCAGTTAAACGATGACATTAATGCAAAATAAAAAATAAATGAAGCAATTTACAGGTATATATCCAGGACAAATTTATTTATTACTGACAACAATATGCATCACCTTTTAATATATACATGTACCTGTTAAAGATAGGAAAAATGAAGCAGCTGTCGAGTTAGTTATTGTGGTAGATAGATATTTTAATTTCTTTCAAAGTTTCAATGTTGTGTGCGCGCTAAGGGTTTGGGGGGAGGGGGTATTACCAATATACCATATTCCAAAATTGCAATCCTTTCAATTCATTGCTCCTAATGAAAGTCCCGTATACCACATTTTAATATGCCATATGTTTTGACTAAAACATCTCATATATCCAATCAACATAATCAATAAAAAGGGCAAACTAACGTCCCCTTTCCCATTATATCCTATACCACGGGGTGGCTGTTGGTTACTTCCTATATAAATATCAAAACATGGATCTGATTTTTGGTTTTCGGCAATATATGAATGGGGATGTTTTTTTTAAATTCCAGCAACACGCCAGAAGTGACCCCCACCCCCTCCCCCGTGCCCTATACAAGCCTCATTTATTATTGTAATTGTTTTACATGTGTCATTTCTGGGCCTTTTATAACTGACTATGCGGTATGGGCATTTCTCATTGTTGAAGACCGTACGGTGACCTATAATAAATTTCTGTGTCATTCGGTCTCTTTTGGAGAGTTGTCTCATTGGCAATCATACAACATCTTCTTTTTTATAATTAATCACTAATCTGACACGCGCGTTTCGCCCGACAATTACTGCCATATCTAAGAACTCCTTTTAGAGTTGCCTCTTCTTTCATTCCCATATTTTTGGACATTCCTAGTTCCTGGAGTTTTCTGTGTTTTAACATAGTTCGTGTTTCCCCATTTCCAAATTTCCTTAAGCTTGTCCCCCCTTCCATTTTTATACCAGTATGTAGCTGTTCACATTAGAACTATTAATCATGTATACACAAAAAGAAATGTCATAAGACGCTTGAATTTTTTTCGTGATTAATTCAACACCATATTTTCGCCATATGCTATCAGCCGTTTTTAGTGTCAATATCAATCAAACACTATCCAGTTACTATTATCTTCTCATTTTTTACTACCGGAATTACGATTATCATCCCGATTTTTTCGACGGCAATTTTCTAAGCGCTTAGACAATTATAGTGCACCGTTACGATTCAAATATGATGGTAATGGTATACAAAAACCTTGCAGCTGAGCAACTCTTCACAACAACAGGCTACATTTGAGAAAAATGACTGAAAAGATTTTACCTATTTCTGCCGTCGCCATATTGGGATCGTCGTAACCCCAGTTTAACACCAGTGAGGGACTTTCCGTTTTGAATTTTCCTTGGAGCTCGGTATTTTTGTTATTTTACTTTTTATTATTTTACTTTTTACAAAGGAGTAGGTTCAGTAAGACCCCTTTTTGGCCCCAAAATATAGCAGTTTTACAAAATTGTGAAAATGTAATCTTTAAGCTATTTATTGTAAAGAAGAATGCTTCTGCTACATATATATGGGCTGTTTTTTACAATACAATGCACATATATCGGGTACTAACATCATTAAGTCATGCTAAATTACTGAAATCTTCAAAATTTTAGCATTTTAGTTAAATTTTAGACGGTTTTCGTCTTAAATGAAAGTGGCCGCATTCGTGTTCATTCATAATATTGAAATGTAAGTTGCATTTGATGATAAAACATAATATATATAAAGGTTGAGGATGAACACGGATGCGGCCACTTTCATTTTTGACAAAAACCATCTGAAAAGTGACGTTTTTTGGCATATTTGATAGATTTTTCATATTTAAGCTTGAATCGGCGCGTTTTTTAATGACTAAATCAGTTAAAATCTTTCACATAAACTAATCGAATCAATTGAAATAGACACTTAAGTGTTTAAAAAGTGTCTAAAATCTTTCGTAAGATGAACTTGAAATTTGAGGCCAAAATCGGCCCTTACCGGACCTACTCCTTTGACGTGTTTTTGTTAAAAAATAAACCAAAGGATTATATTTAACAAAAATGAATTAATTTGTATCTGAAATAAGGAGACAAAATTCCTTTCGATGGAATATTTGTTTAAGCTTAGAGTTTCATTGTTGAATAAATACTTAAGATTTGCCAAAATTTATCGATGTTATAAACTTGGTCAAATGTTCGAAAGTACATTTACATTTTGTTTAAACCGTAAGTTACACACCTGAAGGTGTTATGCTGTGAATAAAGGTATAATTGCATGCACTTATTTAAAAAATCTATACGAAATCACGGAAAGCAATTACCTTCATACGAAATAAGTCGAAATTTTAAAGCAAATACAATGAAAGATATTACATGTTAACACACGCACACAAAAAGGAGAGTATATGCCCAAGATCGTCCTGAGATTCTGTTGACAGTGACTGTTTTATATATATTTATTCTCGCAAACTAAAGTGAAATTGAATAGAGACATGAACAAATAAATTATCATTCATAGCATAAATATTATTGCACTGTTTTGTCTATTTAAGGTAGATCATAAGTATATACTTTTTGAGATAGAACTTTCTTATACTTTGTCAAAAGGAAGATTTTACTATGCTTTTTTCAAAAATATGATAAAAAGTATAGGTCACCGTGCTATTTTCCAAGCTATGAGTCGTTGAAAATTGCCTAAATTTGGTTAGATTGTTCATGAAAAAACACATTTGTGTGCATAAAAAAAATTCTATGAAATAGAATTTTGAAATAAATTGTAAGAAGATAGGTTTTATAATATGTTTAAAGAAAATAAAAAGAAAAAATGGTGTCACCGAACGTGTTTTCTTGCTACAAGTAAAAATTAAAAATTTCCCTATCAGACCAGTATATATTTTTTACTAAAAGAGTTATCTCCCCTTAAATGGCTTATTTGAAAAAAATGATTCTAAAAACACAAAATTTGATATTTGTTTTAATATTTTTGAATAATACAATAAATCACCAAGTTTTCTTTATATAGATAAACAATCTAGCCATTAAATTGCAAATCTGTCTCCAAATTTGAAGAGTTGGGCAAATAATACTGAGATTGTACAATCCAAGATGGCGGTATACCATGAATCTACCTTAATATTTTGTATATCTTCTGCCTATATATTATATTATGCATAAAATGTGTATAACTTACTGTTATGTTCATGTGCAAATAAAAAGAAGCTCATTAAATAAAAAAAAATTATTGCACTGTGTTTGCAAAACGAAAATACAATTTCGCTCACGCCTTTTCTCGTACCAAGAAATTCAAAACTAATACAGGGTGTTGCCCAAATAATAAATTTATCAGAACAATTAAGTACTAGATTTCTGTGATACGCATGTTAGTCTTCTTTTAACACGATGCAATCTTTTAATAGAATTATCTAAATGATATTTGATAGTTTATATAGTACCTGAGCACATGCAATATTACAAATGTAGCAGAACTCTGGTATTTCATGTTTTTGTTCATAAAACTGCTAAGTGGCATATTTCGCAACTTACTTGTTTTGGCGTAGTTTACTTCAGAAGTTATTTGTGGTTTATTGTGTATGGTTGGTCGTTGCCTATTTTCCATATAACCATAGATATATAAACCAAAAATAAAAAAATAAATAATGCACCTTCTTCATACTTTCTTTTTCGTTTTTCCAAATCGACATAGTTCTACACCTTAACGAAGTATATCAAAGAAAAGTGTATTTTTGAAGTTCAAAAACGTGCTATTCCTATTTTCAGAAAACATCCAGAACAAGGTGTTTATATAACATAAAACACACGTCTCGGAAAAAGCATTTTGGAATTTAATTTAATATTTCCAATGTAAAATGCGCAATTTCTGACCAAAAAATAGACATACTCTCAGGGCAGAAGGGAAATAACTCGAGAAGACAATCAAGAAAATATATTCTGCTGTACTGGTCAATACAGATCAACAGATGAGAGATGTATCTAGATTCACTTGATTGCGGACAACACACATGGTACACCAAAGACAGTTAATTTGGTCATGGCTCTTTTTATCTAGCAACAGAGAACTGCAGGGAGCTTCTGATCAGCTTATTCTATGGGTTTATACAACTAATAAATCAGTTGGATAGCAATGTTGTTGAATAGACATACATGTATACTCATTTACCACAACTGAAGCTTGACTCGATTTCTGCTCTCCTATGTCACGTATTCCATCGAAATGCAATCTTGGGAATCTATGTAAATCGAATTGCCAACATTTAAACGATTTATGTCAATCAATCAATCATTAATCTTTCTGATTTAAAAATCTCTAAACTACATTGTATTTTAACAATGTTTAACTATAGCTATATTTAAGAGGAGCGTGAACTGCAAAACCACTAAACCCTTTTAATAACGTTCCATTAGTTTAATCATGAAGTAATGTATGTTTAATATACAGACTTAAAGCCTGTATACAAAACCTTAATATGTACTTGAACTCTAATCCAAAGGTTAAGTTTTTGAAACGTTTGTCACCTTGAGATTAAATACTTAATTAAGTAGACATGTTTATAACGTTGAATAATTAAAAAAAAAAATCATACTTTCATAAATCAATTAAAAAAAAAAATGATACTTTCATCAATAAATAAAAAATAAAATAATATCTTCTTTGGTAAATAGTTTCTATATGGTAAGATTTTATATGTTTAGAATTTATTAGGTTCAGTAAAATTATAGTTAAGTCTTTAGATATTTTATCAATATTTCAAATAAATGACCCATAACATCATTCTGATTTGTATTGAAACGAGTCCAGTTATAATCTAGACAAACTTGTCAAAAATATGGAGACTGCAATATGGGTTATGGAATGCTTGCTGCTTTTTTTTTTTATTGAATACGCGATGTTTGTAACTTTTTTTTCAAATATGCAGGGAATGTAAGACATTTGAAACAAAGGGCAAAAAATGAATTATTAATAATAGTCTTTTTTTGCAAAATGTTAAATGTCACGGTATTGGATACTGGTTTAGTTCCCTAAAATGAACATTTTATATTTACTATGAATATGAAGACTATTTCTTATACAACACTGGTTATCATATTCATATTCATAGTAAAGATAAAATTTTCATTAGAAGTACAACTAGTTAAAAAATACCAGTGAAATTTATTTCTTTGATGCAGATCAGCGCATCTTGTTGCATTTTTCTCCCTCATTTCGAAGGTAAGATTGAGCCCTGTAAATCTCACTGGGAACATACTTAAGCGACCGCTGCAATGGATATTTGAACGAAATGGCAGAACATTTGAGCGATAAAAAAGGACTTTTGAGCGCCAAAGTATAGGAGATTTGAGCGCCTAAATTTTAGGACATTTGAGCGAAAATAGAAATAAGCATAATAAATTTGAGCGGAAAAAATAAGAATGATGAAAGGTAGAGTTTATAACACACAAAGTTTAAAACTTACTATTTTTTCTTACTTTTTAAAAATATTTTCTTAATTCATATAAAAGTATCACAAGTAGTTTCGCACAAACGTCCTATTTGAAAATCCAGGTAAGGTTAATATTCCGGCGCTAAAATGTACTATGATGTCGGCACCCAAATGACCCTATGAACATTTTTTATTTTTGCTCAAATGTCCCATGCCCAGCGACCGAGAGTTCATACCTTAATTAGATGATGAACATTCGATGATATGTTTAAACGCGGTGTAAGTGAAAAAGATACCAAAAATACATGTCACGAAACTAATCGACAAATATCTTTTCCAGACACGTGATTGACATAAAAAGAAAAAAATACAAAAAAAAAAACCCAAAAAAACAAACAAACAAAAGGCAGAAAAATCTCAAACAACTTCACTCTGAAAACAGGAAACAGCAGTGAATCTAAACAAGATAAATGTTATATAGCAAACATGAACACAGAAGTCGGATATAGTATGTGGTATAGACTAAATATAAACAAGAAGATGTGGTATGTGTGCCAATGAGACAACTCTCCACCAATAAAGCTTAGTAAAGAAGAAGGGACGTGGTGTAACAATTCTTGCCTAATTCAAAGTTATTACAAGTTATATATGCCCGATCCCCTCTCTTGTTCATTTAAATTGGATGGCTTGTGTGTAACATGTTGCATTGTTACAGTTAAAAACTTAATCGAATCTAATTTGCTCGGTAAACCAAAAAGTAACCGACTGAGACCAGTTAATTTCAGAATGATCGGAACTTTATTTTTTTAATATATTTTTTCAAATAAAAAAAAATGATTCGTATCTAATATCGACCAATATCTATCGTTAATAATAGGTTACTTCTATATGTATAGCAAGAAGTGGTATGATGGCAAATGATACAACTCTCCAAATGACGTAGAAGTTAACAACTACAGGTCACCGCACGACCTTCAATAATGAGCATAGTAAGCTATAAACCGTCCCGAAATGACAAAAGTAAAAAAAAATCAAACGAGAAAAACCAACAACTGATTTATATACAAAACAATAAACGAAAAACAAATATGATGTACAACAACCAACGACAACTACTGAATCATAGGCTCCTGACTTGGGACAGGCAAATACAGAATGTGGTGGGGTTAAACATGTATGTTAGTGGCTTATAACTGCTTATAAAATTGAAATAGGAGCAGGTGTGGAACACACATAGGCAAGTGTTCACGCCATATTGTACATAAAATTCCCCAGCACTTAATCAATGTTAAGAAATATACCAAACAGAGATAAAAAAAAAAACCCTGAAGAAACAGGAATCTCCTAATACGTATGTATCAACCGCCATGACAATAGCTCCGAGTAACACGTTGTGCATGAATTTAAAAGACACAATACAAAGTCTGACATAAACACCAAATTCCAAGGTTAATGAAAAAGAATATAAGATGTAAATAGCAGCAACCCCTCACGAGGTTTCAAACATAGGAAAGGTGACAAAATGTGGCAAAAAGTATTAACAAAATAAAAACTCCAAGGTATTCAAAAAGGGGGAAGTCTATAAAAACTGACAAAATTAAACGTTAGACTCTTATCAATCAACGTTACGAATGGAAAATAATTGTCATATTCCTGACTTGGTACAGACAAGGTTAACCTATTTCCTTGAGCACTAAGCCACATCCTTCGACAGCGTCTTGAAGTGGAATAACAAAAACTAGTAAAAAGTCAAAAGCGCTTGATACAGTTATATCGGTACTACACATATACTTACTTTATTGAAGAAGGATGTTTGTCCGAATCTTTTCGTAAAACCTGTTGCAGAAAATCATGTGTTTCGAACCTATCACGGTCCAAATGTGAAATACTAAATGTGTTTTCTCTTCGGAGTTGGTCCAGTTGTTTTCTCATGTAAAGGGTAGCCAAGTTGTTTTTATTGTTCAAAGTTTTTAGAGTCCTTCCGGCCGGACCGGAACCTCCTTTAACTTGCAAAGTACTCATTGTTAATGTCTTCTAAGCTAGAGAATATTAACTATTTCATTATGGCTGTCACGAATGCTCACATTTATTAGCTTTATAGTATGAAACCATACTTTTCATTAATCCGTCTGATTTCCGCAGAAATTAATAACAATAAAACCGTAATATAACGGTATTTTCCAAATGAACAAAATATCCAGTATTTGATATTCACATATCGTTTGTACAAATTATTCCTGGCTTAGAAATTGCTTTTTACAGAAAATATCGATACTACGTACAATTACGCGTTCATGTTTAGGAGATTTTTTTTTGTGTGCATTCGGAAAATAATTAACCTAGCGACTGATTCACCGCTCATTAGAACTAATCAGCTTATAAAAATGATTTGAAGAAATATAATACGGTTTGAAAGAAATCTTATTACATTGGTCATTATGGCAGTTAACTGTAAAGCAATCAAATTGTGTATTGGGGATTATAGAAAAGAAAAGAAAAAAACTTGTTTATGAATTTAAATGGTGGATAAATGAGTTCATGCGTAGTTCTCAAGGATTTTAGACATGTATTTAGCTATTTAATGATTAAATGATTAATCTACCCATATATTAAGAAAAACAAGAGGGAATATTTTTAACTATTCATAACATATATTTTAGATAAAACCCAGTTCGTATGCAATACAATTGACTAATGATTAATTGCTATTTAAGAACTTAGTCCAACGGCAAATATTACATACAATGTACACATTCAGGACGATAACATCTATTTTTAACTAAAAGGGAATTACTTTGCATTGCATTGGTAAGCTAAGTGAGGGAATCTGGGAAAAGGGAGGAAAAGAGTAATTGGGAAGTGGGAAAAAATTACAACGAAAAGCGGGATTAGGGAAATGAGCACCCCTTGTCACTCCTTTCCTGAGTCGAACTTATTGGAAAAATTCATAAGATAGAATTCCATTGTATTTGATGGTTGCCTTTGGAGAAAACGAATATTTGCAACAATCAAATAAAATATATTAATGCCTGTAAATTATCTATTTTACCTCATTTAAGTTAGTACGGTGATAAAAAGGGCGAATTAAACCAATTAAAGGACCGACTTACCTTATTGTTGATTTGGGTCTTATTTTCAACATTGATATACTACCCTTCACTTTAAGATTCAAGTTATGCAGACTTTTGAAAATTTTATTATAAGCTGCTTAGTTCTAATGAGCGGTGAATCAGTCGCTATGTTAAAATCATATTTTTCACATTTTGGACAATTTTTCGGAAATCCTTTATGATAAGCAAAAAAAAAAAAAAACTTTAGTGGAATTTACTATTGTTTAAATTAAGCTTGTTTCATTTACGAACTCATTACAAGAGATTAGTAGGTTACATTTTACCCTGCTTCAATCTTGTGCGCACCGTGAGTCTAAGACCATTAATCGTGGAATTTATGCCTTTAAATTTGGGGCCTTAATCCAATAAAAATTAACGGTATAAAAAATAGCTGAATAATAAGAATATATATTTGCAAAGTACGTTATACAGTAAAGTACTAATATGTCTTTTGCAAATATAAGAGGCAGAATATTCATTTTCCTAAAAAGAATTAATGACACTACTGTTATACTAGTGCAAATTAATTTTGATGTAAAAAAAGTTAAATGTCAGAATTACGCTGATGCAAGATATTCTATAAATCGATTCGTTTTTATTTTAGAGTTGTGTCCCTTTAGTCAAATGATGATGATGACGATGATGGATGGATGATAAACATCCAGTGGAAAATATCACACGCTTAATTCATATAAATAATTCGCTTCTGTTTAGAAAGCAAACAACAATCAATCAACCTTTATAGAAATATTTTCTTCAATAAATTATATGATATATATTTATTCTGTTTTTTGTTCCATAATTAATTGTCAGGATATGGTAGAAAAAAAGGTAACTTTTTCATTCAAACCTACGAATCATAAAACACAAATTGTTTACCCATAAATAGGAGTTCTAGAAACATTTGAGCTGCGTCGGATAGAAATCGACCTTATGGAAGTGCACGTATATATACATGTATAAGACTTTGATTGATTTTGGAACATTAAAATACGAAAAATGTAGATTTTCTCATAACTGCTCAAATTTCAAACAGTAACAGACTTTCCAAAGAGAATTTGTCAACCCAAAATAGGTTAATAGATGTATTGATATTCATTTTCATAAGGTCGATTTCTATCCGACGCAGCTCATTTATAAATATATAATAGTCAAGATTTGTGTTAGCAGGGGGGATATTGGAGGATATTGGTAATTAATATGTAGACTTGTGCCATCTGCTGCATAGAAACACTGTTTATCATACGATCTTTATTCGAATTTAAACGAGTATATATAGGTTTCTTTAAACCGCAAAAAAAAACCACAAAAAAAAAAAAAAAAACAAAAACAGACGATACAACTCGGGCTTTGTAAAGAATATTTCTAAAATTTTCTTGCCTTTTTGTTAAAACATAAATTTGTTTTGTGAATAAAACGTAGCGATAGAATGCAAAAAGTAATTCTAACATTTAATGAGACCTCTTAAATATGTCCTGACACTTTATGGCATGTAAATAGATGTCTTTCCGGTATAGACATATTAGTACTTTACTGCATAATGTACTTTGCAAATATAAGAGGCAGATTTCCGTTGTCTTCATGAAGGTCAAGTTGTTCCACTATATAAAATCTATAAGTAACTATTACTCGATTTATTTTTGTTTCTTTAAATGGTTTCAATACTTAGAATAGAATTCTCAAAATAGAATAATTTAAGATTCAGATATTATTATTTTTGTCTGGATGGGACTCAAAATATATGAACACGAAATTCAGAGTTTGAGTCAATACAGCGGTTTTATTATTTTGTTTTTCTAGGACCCTAGATTTTACATAGTACACCATGCCCCGCAAATACCTCTAGGCATTATTTAAGAAACCATGACCCGCAAGTATATTTCCATGTTCAGGGAACCGCGAATGCTGTGTGAAACTCACAATTTTTTAATATATTGTATATTCTTATGAACATATGTACTAATTTTCGAGTTGATGCCATCAAAACTTCGTGGTAAACTACCATAATCTTAAACTTTAAACTGATACGGGATTGACGCACACATAATTCCTCCTCCCAATTCTATCGTAGGCGGGACATGAAAAAAACTTATCAGTGAAGGAAGCTTACAAAGACGTACTGCAGTTAAAGTATGTTTAACTCGGCTTTTAATGACAGCATTAAATTTCCATTATGCGTTTGAAGATTAAACTTTGATATATATTTTTTCTAGATTATGATAAATAAAGCTTTTTGGGAAATTTGAAATTGATGTCAATTGAATATCTGTAAAACATTAAAGACCAAAAAAGTTACGAACAACAGAAAACCGCTAATCTTTGAAAAGGGGGTAGAAAATACAACTTTACAAGTTGAACTTTTATCAGAACCGTGAACTTTCAATGACAGATTTAAACTCCCTGTACAAACACAGATAATATGAGAAAGCCTCGAGTATTTGCTAAATACTATTTGTGTTAATATTGTTAAACATACAATTTTGTTTTGCGTTTATTTGTGTTATTTTCTTTCATATCGTTGTTATCGAGTTAAATGGTTTTACAAAAAATGTGTTTACTCTAAGAGTCTTTATGGTACCTTTTATTTTTTTTATGATCGAGTTAAAAAGGGGGGTGGTTGATTTAAAAATACCAGGTAATTTGATTGCTGAGGGCATATCTTTGATAATCTCTGTTAAATATAGATTCTACCACTGCATCGAGTGTGATACGATATTTATCCACTCGAGACAGTTAAATTTTCAAATTTAAAACGCGAGGCTTGCCGAGCGTTTTAAATATTTAAAATTTAACTGTCGAGAGTGGATAAATATCGTATTACACGAGATTTGGTGGTGGAATCTGTTTCTCTAATGATTTTCAAACAATACGCAGGCAAATTTATTCCTTCTGTTCGAATGATCTGCAAAAAGATGTGTTCTTTCTATGTGACGTCATCAGGCATGGTCGCCTTTTTCATGCCGTCACAATAGGAAATTCAGAGGAAAGCAAGAAAATTCGACGTCATAATCGGATTTTAACCAATGAAGAACTGAGATCAAACGAACCACACGTTGATTAAATTTTTGTTATACAATGGGTGCAGAAAGGGATAAATTGACGAAGAATTAGAGAAATATATTCACAACATACTTGGATAATTTAGATCGGTACTCCTTGCATGGTCTATTTGTGAAGACCGTAAATTGGCCTTTAATATTGACATACCTCAAACACCATCATACAGTCATTTCACATATTGAATATTTTATTTTTATGTTTAATTAATTATTGCAATTATACACATATTGGTCAAGTTACTAAAACATGGTTACAACAAAACAATAAATTAAATTACAAAGATATAAACTTACAAAAGTGCATATAAAACAATCAAACTAAGACCGAAATACAATGCTAATGACAGCTTTTAACAGAAATCACGTTTTGAATTCTGTGTCCGGGCCGATTTCTGATTTGACCGCACCCTGAATCCCTATTCTTAGAAAAAATATGCCTTTCAGTGTTTACCTGCATTCATTATACATAGATATAAGAAGATGTGGTATGAGTGCCAATGAGACAACTCTCCATCCAAGTCAAAATTTATAAAAATAAACCATTATAGGTCAAAGTACGGTCTTCAACACGGAGCCTTGGCTCACACCGAACAGTAAGCTATAAAGGGCCCCAAAAATTACTAGTGTAAAACCATTCAAACGGGAAAACCAACGGTCTAATCTATATAAAAAACGAGAAACGAGAAACACTTATGAACCACATCAACAAACGACAACTACATGTACTGAACATCAGATTCCTGACTTAGAATGTTTCTGTTCATGAAAAAAAACACTGGTTCCAGGTGTGGTAAATCGTTTTAAATTCCAAGACCGCTTTTGTGACTATGATAAGGAATTCAGGGGGTTGCCAAAACAGAAAAAACGCTCCGGACACAGAATACCAAAAGGAGTTATTTATTATACAGTTACGGGAAATTTGAAACAGTAATGGGTTGATAATTTCGTTTTTTTGTTAGAACGCTAATTTTCTAAAATTTCAATATAGTTTTTTTGATCTAATTGAATTATCTTTAATTGTTTTTAAAATGACAAAGAAGAAAGAAATGATATATTTGATATTCCTTAAAATGTCAAAGAAGAAAGAAATGATATATTTGATGTTCCTTGTTATTCA